TTTGTTTGGGAATTAGCTGTCCCATGATGACTCCTGTGTTCTCCTTCTTAGAATCAGCCTGTTGCAGTTAACTAACTTTTTTGCCCCTACAAGTCTTCAGAAACCGTATATGAAAACCAGTTCAAAACTAGAACTTCTGCAGGGGTTCATGTTTATTTCTTTACAAACTTGATTCCACTTAGCATAGTAGTCAGATGATTTAACTCTCAAAGAAAAAGGAAAACAATAATCAGGGCCACACCAATAAATCAAATTACGTAATAACTGAACAATCTCATAAATGCACAAAATCATATATTTACATAACAAGTACTCACTCAAATAATGCATCTATCAGAGTCACAATAGAGTTGTCAGCACCCTGTCATGCAGCTCAGCAGTGTGAAGCAAACAAACGGAGTGAGCATGGCCTGCTGCAGACCTCTAAATTGCTCAGGTGTGGCCTGATTGGATCAAGTCAGACTAGGCTTAAAGAGGAAGTGTGATCTGCAACAAGTCACACTGTTTTGTTTTTGCCGAATGAGTCTCATACTGTTCCACATGTGCAGCACACAGATGTTCACATGGTTTCAGTGGCAGACGGGGGGAGGGGGGGGGGGCTTTCTCTGCTCTGATATTGTCAAAATTAGATGTGCACATATTGACTAAAATCCAGAGAACACACGAACTGGAGAGTTCATGGAAAAGTTATTTTATTAAGGACTGTTTTATGTAGGCATATTCTGTTGGAGAGGTAAAATAAAAATTGTTATCATTCCAGGAAAGAGTATTTCATCAAATTCTGTAAAAGAAATTAAATTAATTTTTGACAGCATTGTATCACTTTTGTTGCGTGCCGGTCCTCTGGGAGCTCACTTTTCTAAGTTACAAATTTCGAGGACAAGCGGAAAGCAAAGCCAAGCACGACAGTATGTTACCAAAGGGATGTTGTGTTTTTAACAAAGAATGGAAAAAGATTAACCGCATGAAATAATGAATTATCTAGATCTCATTTTATTATTCTCATGAAGCCTGTCGCTGTAGAAGTCCGCTTTCAGTTTAATTTCACATTTCTTTAAAAAGTAGAGGTCAAGTGTTCCTTACCGGCATCAAACTGCACTTGTTGTATCCACTGTTTGTTCGTCTATAGAAGAGAGGGGTTTATTATTTCATCCAAACGCTCTCGTCCGTTAGAGTGACATCTCGTTTTGAATGCAGAGTGGAATTGTCCACATTTATACGACTGCAGGAGTCGGGGGGGAAAAAAACACCTCGACTGAATGTTACACACCGAGTCAAATCCAGCTTAATGTGAAATCATAAAGCATTTTGTCCTCACACATCATCTTCACATGTAATTGAGTTGTGGCACTAATGAGCTGACAGTAACGGCCTTGTCAAAACAAGCGGGGGAGCAAAGAGGCCGAGCCTGCAGCCCAGTTAATAGCTCAATCAGGCATTGTCCTATCTGATTGGATTTATTGGCCTGGTGGCTCGGCGCTGTTTAATGAACATCTATCTCATTAGTGTTGCTCAATGTCACCTCGCAACACACACACACACACACACACACACACACACACAAACACAGGCAGCATCAGGTTACCTCCACCCTCTTTAATAAGGCCATTCACCCTGCACTCAGTGTTACTCAATGACAGTCAGTCCTCATCAGGATAAACAAAAGAGGAAACATGAGAGCAGGAGAGCCATTCACTTTTTTTTGTCAGGCAGGTTTGCAGGGTGAGAAATCCCCAGTGAAAGAGTCAATCTGCTGCAGGTGGAGATAAAGAATGAGCTTAATTAAAAGCACTCTTTTTTTTTTTTTATTACAGATACCCTCGCTGGTCATAGCCACCGTTTCCGTAATAGATAAGAAAGAAAAAAAAAACGAGGAAAGAGAGAGCATCTTGAGCAGGCAGCAGTTAGAGTGTGAGCCTCAGCAGGCGGCTCTCAACAGTCACCATCTAATATATTAATGCTGTCAGTACAGTCTCTGTGAAGCTAACACTTTTCAGAAACAAAGGCGCTCCGCATGCCATACCCAATTCTCTTGTTCCAGGATCAATATGTTTTGATAGATTCTCGCTCCCGAGCCGGATATTGTTCGAACAACCATTATCCGATGGTAGTTTACCCAACATGAATCCACCTTCCTTCTCTTTCCCTCCTCGCAGTTAGGATGACAAAAGTCTGCTATCTGGGTGATTATGGGCAATTTCTCAGTGCCAGAGCTGCCAAGCAGACAGAAAGGCCTATTCTCCCCTGATGGGCAGAGAGGCTGGGTACCGCATCCAGTCCTGAGTGGGGCTGCTTCCCCATCCAGAGTCAAGCATACACCTGGTCTGTGCGCCCGCGTTGCCCCTAGGAGACCGCTCCTCACCATGCAGCTGTCAGGCCTGCCAAGCACCGAACAGCAGCTCTCCAGCAGCACCTATGGAGAGAAAAAGTGGCAGAACGAGACCTGCTAAACCTATACGATTGATGCTGAGGCTTCCCATAGCTGAAGCTTGTTGTGTGGCTGCACAGAAGAGCTAATGACGTCGACGCTAAATGTATTCTAATCTCTGATTTTGATGCTTGCATGCAGATACAGAGCTCTCACCTCAGATAAACATCATAATCAGTCTTAAAGTGGCACAACAAACAGCCGTAAGTCTCAGATCTCTCTCGCATACTTAGAAAAAAAAGATCTGCACAGCTTTTTCTCCTCGGCAGCTGCCTGTGTGCCTAGCAGCTGCCTCTTTCTCCAAAGCTGCCTGTTATGATAAATAAATCAGGGCTACATCTGATAATTGCAGAATTGTCTTTTAATGTTATTCCCTTCTATGTGAGGCTGTCTTTGCTGTCAAGCCTGGCAATCTCATTTTGTTTGACTCCGAGATGAAATGTTCAAAGAGCGTCTTTGATTATGTGCTGCTCCGACTCAAGATTACATTGAGTTTAAAATGCAAGATTAAACGTATGTCACTTACAGCTTACAAACGGGTCGCCTTTGTTTTTGTCCTTTGAGGATTCTTTGAGCTCCAGGATTATTTATTCATTATTATTTTTTTTAAAGTTAATGGTGAATGTCATTTTGAATGCTCTCAGAAGCGTCAGATATTGCCGTTTGTTACGTGCGGCTGCCGTGTATCAAAGCGAAGAGGCAATCCTAACGCCTGTTTGTGATTACTCCTGCCAGAAACAATCACCTCTCTCTGCTTGTTCTTTTTTCTTTTCGCAGCTTAGGAGCACAAACAGGTACTCATTTTGTCTCTCGGTGCAGTGATTTCAGCCTGAGATCTCCTGTGCTGTGTGGCTTTAAACCCTCGTGACCTGGTCCCTCTTAAACTGTGATCGCATGTATGTCGGAGCGGGTGCAGGCGTTCTGCACCATGCAGGGTTATCACAGTGACACGCCTGTCACCCAGGAGCACCGGGCTCGGGAGCACAGTGGGGTCTTCGCACCAGTCGGCCCGCTCTGCATCCTCTGCAAGCTGCACACACACACACACACACACAAATGCAAAACAGAAGCAGATAGCTGACAATTGGAGTTAAAGGCTTGTGAGTGTGAGTCAACACAGTGCAGCCAGGCTTACCTAGCAACATGTAAAGGCTGCTTCACAGTGGACACAACACAAGCTGACACTGTACTTTTATCATTTTATCCCAAACCATTCAGTTCTGTGTTTTAAGCAGTGATTTCGTTGGATCTCCAGAGTTTTCTGTCTGGGAGCTCCTCCTGCGTAAATCCACTTTGACGTGTTCGGACTCTGACATCATTTGAAAACAGTTTCATCAGGATGAATGAAATGTAAGATGTCATATACTGTGTATTTGGAGAGATTTCAGCCACAGCACAAACCTTTCCCCACTTGTGGCTCAAAGCTCTCGATGAAAAATGTGTCGGTGTATTTCCAAACCCACTTCCTCTGAAAACACATTTGAAGGGATCTTCTGCTGAGCAAAATATCTCTGAGCGATACTTCTGATAACATATCTTTTCCTCTACGACTTCACTGCTTCCACTTTAACTAATGTGAATGAATGGATACGTGAAGAGACGAGAGTGATGTGTTATATCCCTCATCAAAAGGGTGAAGTGCTGTTTTTTTTTTTTTCTTATTTTGAAAAGCACTGTGTGTTTCAGGCACATTTCTCTGGTGCCGGGGATTTGTTCAATGGGATGAAACACAAATCACTCTGCATCTCTGGGAAATAAAAAAATGCTCAGCTCTTTGGCAAAGATTGGATTTGATGTCTGTCAGTACCGACGGCAGTGTGATTTTGACTGCCAGCGTGTGACACAGTGAAGCACAGAATTCATCAAGTTATCAAAACACATTGATTAATGGTACAGTCGCTCTGGTGACGGCTGCTTTAATACTTTACCCATCTCAATTAAGCAGCCCAGAATAAACATACTGTATTATATTCAGTTAAATGTAATATATTTGCACTGTATTTTACTTCTGCATAACAAGTGTTCTGCAGAAATAATAAATGCAGTTAGTATAATTTACCGACCACTAGGGCTGGGACTCTTTGGGTGTCTTTTGATTTTGATTCTTGGGGTCACGATTCGATTCAGAATCTATTTTCGGTTCTAACCAATTCTGGATTCATGATTCAAAGTCTATTTTTTAATGAGTACATACTTCAGGATCTACTCCAGCCATCTTTGAGACTGGCTGGATTTCTTGTTGCTCTATTTGGCATTCTACTGCATTAAAGAGCTAGCATTAGCACTTAGCAGAGAGTGACTGATTACCCCCCAAAAAATGATTCTTGGAAGTTATGAATCTATTTAAAAATATCAGAAGACAAGAATCTCGATTTTTACATAACATTATGAGAGGAAAATGATTCTACATAGTTACGAATCGGTTCAGGATGACACATTAAAGACTGTTCTTCCACTCCTTGTGACTCGTCATTGATGATCTTTGAAAAATGCTGTAATTATTTAACTAATGTTGACATGTGCTGTAAATGTGTGTTTTTTTTTTTTTCCTTTTCCGTGTTGCAGTCTCTCCTGGTTGCCCAGCAGCTTGCCAACGCGGTAGGCGGCGTGATGTCCGGGGCGGCCGCCGGTATGAGCCAACCCATCCTCATCCCTTTCAACGCAGGCGGACACCTGGGAGGGCAGCAGGGCCTCGTGCTCTCCCTGCCCACGGCCAACATCCAGAGCCTGGTGGCTGCTGCTGCTGCAGGGGGCATCATGACGCTCCCCCTCCAGAACCTGCAAGGTAAGAAAGATAGAAGAGTAGAAACACAGTTTGTCATTAAAATAAAAAAACAGTTTCAACATGATATTAAAGGACGAGAACGTGCAAAAGAATCCTCTTCTGGTGCTGAAAGGATGGCAAAATGTAAAACTCTGTGTCTTGTGTAACACTGATGCAGGATTGTCTGGGTCATTTGTGATGATTCATAGAACATGAGACGTTTGTTATACCTTCATTGCACAACATGGAGCTGTTTGTTTCTTCCTTGATAAAAAAAAAAAAAAAAAAAAAGCTTCTGAACAGGTAAGAATCCTTCAGGGGGTTGTATCCCAAAAAGCCCCTATCCTCAACTTGCCCAGAGGAACGACCATATTAATTACAGGTCAACGTTTTGCAGTGCATCGCAAAAGCACTTTATGCCTCTTTCCTGTGCATAAGAGTGCACCGTACTTCACTTTCTTTTTTATCTCTTTCCACCTCATCTGTCCGTCCACATGGCTGTACTTATCCGTGCCTTTTAAACTTTAATGCCCAAGTGTTCTCTTTTGATCATAGTTGTAAATGGTTTTCATTTTAATGTTTAAAACATTGTCTCTTTTATACCATTAGATTGAAGGATGGATGGGGAAACCGTCGCTCATAAATCTTGGATGAGAGAGCAGCACTAATGTTAAAAGATGCCAGGCTACATGTAAAGCAGTGTGTTTTTTAGGATGGAGATTACAATAATGCCAGTGCAGCACAAAGTGCAGGGAAGGCTCCGTGTGGGGAAATGGATGGACAGATGCCCTGAGTGAGGAAATGTGGAGGTAGAAGCCTAATGGACACAAACATGCATAAATAACAGCAGCCATCGCTGTGGGCAGAGCTTTTAATAAACCCGCATCTATCCATTCAGCCCTTCAATGTATCCATCAGTAGTGGACGATAATGGGCCCAGCAGGCCCCAGTGACTCACACTTCAACAGATCTTCCTCCTGGTGCGTGTGGATCAACCCAGAGGCTTCAGCGTTTTGATGAACTGATCAGCAAACACATTGTCAGGGTGTCAGAACGCCAAAACAAACACCGTTCACTCAGCCTTATTGTCCACTGCTAAACAAACCAGCACACTCTGAATCTGGTGTCCTCATTCCCCGTCCATGAGAGAGAGCAGAAAAAAAAAACTGTTGTGGAGAAATGCCTCTGTGGCAGATCTTTTTTTAAGTGTGTGGACTGACAGACTGCCTCTTCGCACGTCCTCTTATCTGAAGGGGATTCATTGAAGGGACCTCCGTGGAGAGAAAGTGACACAAGTCACGAGTGAAGCTAAATGTCTTGACTGTGTCCAGGCCCCTCTGGCCACGCGACGCTCCTCCACTCTCCCCTGTCTGAGTTCATCACAGCTCCGCTGAATGAGGCCTGCTGGCACAGCACCTCTGTCAGACAACTGCAGCTCTAGCCTCTGCCCCCATGTCCCCCCGCGCGCCCCCTCCCAGCCCCTGCGGGTCTCCAGGCCTGATTAATCACAGATATAATACAGCGCCGTGCTGTCGCCGGGGAGCAGTCAGCTCATTTCACGACCTCAGGAGCGAGTATGTTTTACAGCACTCACGCTGCTAGCTAATTAGTGTCAGATCAGACACAAGACAACTGTGAGGCACAGTAATGAGACTCCTGGAGGAGCCCAGCCAATGGCTGTATTTAAATGTAATGAGGCGGCTAATGACCAACTAATAAAGCTGTTTGTCTTGAGGAATGGGTGGCTGAGGGTGGAGGAATTGTATTTCTGCAGGCTTGTAGTCTTAGTCATAGAGTTTGAGTCATAATACAATATCTAAAAAGATAAATTAGATCAAGTTAGGGTGTTTTAGTCCCTATTGATGTTGTATTTTAATGAGGAGAATTAAATGCAGAGACAGAATGAGAACAAACAGACAGAACAGTATCTTTGATCCCATGTTTTGATCATGCTAATCAAAGCTCGCTCCGTTAGAATGAATGCGAGCTTTAGGAGTGTAGCTCTCTCAGACGGTGATGAATAACTATCACTGTAATGGGGTTGTGCTGTAACGTTGGAGCGGTTGCTTAAATAAAACTGAGCAGCATCTTGTGGCAGACTCAGTAAACACAAGCACCAGTGTAACTGGTTATTTGTCAGAATGATTTATGCCTGCGTACACGCAGTAAAAACAAATTCCCAATGAAACTAAACAAGGGAGAAAGTTATCTTTTGTGACAGAGTGCACACAATTCTAGCTGACTTCACAGAGGCAAAAAGTAGGTTGGGTCATGCTAGAGGTCTGTAAATACGACGGCTCATATGAATAAAAACATTATATGTGATTTGAAATATCAGTGTGTACAAAGAACCTGCAGATTTTGATTGTTAGATGTGATGCTAACTTTCTGCTGCATTTTTAATAGGTTTAGATTTCACATGATTTTATAACAAGCAAAGCATGATTACCATACTTGTAAAACTAGTTGTATCAAAGCACTGTACATGTAATGCCCAATGGGAGGAAGCAGAACAAAGTCTCGTCTGTCTGCTTCTTCTTCTCTGTGACTCACTCAAAGGTAATGCAAGAAGCTAGTTTACTGGAGCGCTTTCATATTAATAAGCACATCCCATCTTATTTGCTCTCAGCAGAAAGCCAGGCAGCGCATCACATCAGAGGAGTGAGTTCTAATGGGGAGGTGCGAGCATTGTTTCTCTGTACTCGTCCGCAGGAAACACAAAACAGCTCTCAAGCTTCCCTGATAAAGGTCGACATCCCACTCACCTGCGGTAATGAGACCCGGTGTCAACGCCAATCAAAGGCGCGTCTGCCGTTTTGATGAAAACGCTCTGCGGTGTCGTTCGCAGGTTGCCAGTGTTGGCGCCATACAAATTAGGGAAATCACTCTGCTCATTACAGCACCAAAGGGTGGGCTCCTGGGGGAAGAGCCAAATGTTTCCACACTAGTTAGACATGTCAGGCTGCATCTCTTCTGCCTCAGCTGACTGCTGCTCCTTTAAGAGGTTAGATCACCGGGCCGAGCCACTGACTTAACCTCTGTCTGCTGTGGGAGTGCCTCCGTGTCCCTTTACCCATTATATTAGCCGAGCTGGAGAATTTCAGGCATCCTTTTTGGGCTCGTTACAGCCTCACTAGTTGCTCATTGAGGACTTGTTTCTCTCGGGTGGACTCATTTTAGGATAAGAAAAGCAAAAAGCTATTGTTGGTGCAGCAGATGAGTGCATTAAAAAAAAGGACCTGGTGCAAGAAGACCACATTTCCTCACATCAACATCTGCCATCTTAGCACAGCAGAGGCCGAGCCCATCCCGTCTCCCTCATCGCTCTTTAATTTGAGGTGTTCTCGAGCACTATGTATTCCACGTCGTCCTTTAATGATTTAACTTTGCCGATGACTCGCAGGGGAGAGAGCTGCATTAAATAAATAACAGTGATAAAATGTAGACCTCATACATTTCAAAGCTAATGCAACTAGCGGTGCAATAGGAGCAGCTGCACACAGTCCTGGAGCGGTAATTTGATTGATTTGTTGTGACAGCAGCCAAATAATTGAGAGTGAGAGGTGCTGGCGGAGATGAAGCGCAGGCAGACGCAGGTTCTTTTTTTTCGCCAGGCAAGTCCCAGCAGATATGGCACCCGGGTTCTCATCTCTGCCATTGATATCTGCCAGTGGTTTATTGTTTGTCTTCAATAAGCAGCTTGGAAACGCGCGGGGTTGCCGCCTTTGCGACAGTTTGGCGGCGGGTAAAAAAAAAAAAAAAGAAGAAAAAAAAAAATCACTAATCAAAATGTACAGAGGAGCGATGAGAGGGTGGGAATCAAACCCGCGCTGATGTGCTGGTTTACTGTACATCCACATATGAACACACAGACACTCCCATGGGACTCATGATTTATACTCTGATGTCTGTTTTGAAGCAGAGATGTAAGTAAATTTCCCCTCCGGTGTTTCACTTGTTGCAGATTTGTTTTGAATTCAAGATACACGTATCTCATAACGGCACAAAATAAAAACAATGATGCTCGGTGCATTTGAATAAACAGCATATGAACCCTTATCGTATGTCTCCGGAGATATTTTTAAGTCTTCTCTCTGTGGTACGATACATCGCTTTGTTTTAACCTCCTGGCTCTTGACTCGTGTTAGGTTTCTGTGCGTGGTGGCCGTGTCACTCGGGCTCAGCCATGCCACAGGACAGGACGCGGCCTGAAATAGAAAGAAAAGAGAAGAAGAAGCAGAAGAAGAGGGGGGGAGGGGGGGAGTCTTTATGGTGGTGTGGAGGCGGACGATAATAGTGTTAATCAGATGTGGCTGTGTCTGCTCCTCCACAGCAAACCCTGACATCTGCCCTCACTGGTGAACACTGACGGAGGCTTTTTTTGTTTGTTTTGGTTTTGTTTGTCCTGCATTTGAACACAACACGGTCTCTCTACATTCCACACTGTGTCTGCAGCGTACATGCAGAGCGTGTACTGCTCTTATTTAAATGCATGTTGGAGTCGACATGGAGCATTAGAGGTTTTGTTTTCTAAATCTGGAATCTGAAAGTCAACATGGCAGATCTTTGAAATGAGCTTCCTTGAATGATTAGAAACATGCAGAATGATTGTCATGAAGCTCTTTTCTATTCTCTGAGCTCCTGAGCTTTGACAGATTATCCTCCGCTTGCTGTAATTACTGTTTGTCTTTAAATGTGACACATGTACATTACACTGCAGGGTCCAATCAACCAAATTAAGTTCACAAAAAGTGACACATCTATGTGAGCATTTTTAAACAAAACCATAAACGTCTCATCTCCTTTCAAAAATCTTAATTGATATTCTTCATAATAAATAAGATTGTTGTTATCACCTGCTGTTTTTTAAGACACAGGACAGTGCATAGAGTCGGAAATCAGGTTCAGACAGAGACAGAGAGTGGGGTATGACATGCAGGAAAGAAGCCACAGGTCAGATTTGAACCCAGGGCCGCCCACTTGGAAGAATTTAGCCTCCGTACACAGGGCGCCGCATTAAC